GAACTCGAAACAGAAGAAAGACTTACCAGTGGATGCCTTTATATAAAATACAAATGTTTATGTATTATATGAGCAAAATCTGGAAAGAACCATTAGAGCTAGACGGTTACATTCAGTCACTTAGGCTTCATCATGGATCAGACCTAGGCTTAGCCTATCTCTAATCCAATAAGCCGCGAATTGTTTGATAGCGTTACACAGGTGCAACAGGCGCATAGTCATCGTGGCAAAACGTACATTTTGCGCAACTCAACAATACCAGACAGCCCTTATCTGTTGCACGCAGCTTCGTTAAAGGTGCGTACGAATGTTTGGTATCGTGTAAAGACAGCGACCGATGTGCCAAGCATGTGTTTAAATACATTCAAATTATCAACAAATCGATTACCATAGCATATGTAATGCTAACGACCAAAGTTTGTCGTGTATCATTCACGACACAGTTTGACCTGCCATAGTCATCACGGTCATGTCGAGTCGCCGAAAACACCTAGCCAGTTATATCATCCCTATTTCCCCCTAGACATATGAATGGAATCTTTGTTCGTTGGACGGGTTCATAATAGTGTCAACGCTGTCTCAGTCCTTTTGCCGATGAGAGATAACCCGTTATAGCATATCTGGCCGTTCCACCACTCAGTCCTAGTTCACTGACAAACAAAATCGACGCCGCCGACCATGACTATCTTCTCAGCGTCCGGTGCTTGGGTTTATTGCGCCATTAGTTTTTGTTTTTGAGCTTAGCTCTAATGATGCCATACCGATTATATATGTACATATATGACACTTGTTACTGCTGTACCTGAGGTAATCTGTATGCTTGTTTAAGCTGTGCTTATTCAGACCTCACTTCCCCTACAATGACATGATGGAAGCCATTCTATATCAACGTTCCATAATGTGACGGTGAATCTTTCAACGTTATGCCCCTTGGGGCCAACTCAAGCTCGGATCACGGTAAAGTCCTCAGCAGGCTTTCATTCTTAGCGGTCTGCAGGGAACGCATCGGTCATCTGTGACTATTCATCTTCGAGATTCATAAAAAAAGATTATCGTAGAACGAATAAAATTAGATGAGTATCCTAAAAAAAGTGACGAAAGAGAGGCAGGGGGACAGAGGGAAATAACTGAACATGTTCAGGCGGGAGTTGGTCGTTTGCTATTGGCGATGGCAGTGTGGGAGGTGTGAATATTGACGGTGCTGTCACGTTGAATATGATGACATTGCCAGCTGACCTCTGTCAGCAACGATAGCGGAACGGGCTTCCTTTGCTGGTATCGCGTTGGTTTTTATGATTCAGTGTTAGCTGCGTTAACCTAAAAAATCGTACAACGATCATGCCACTTATAATATTTGAATGAATACCCACATAGCTATTTCCGCTGACGACCGAGCGCCGCACGTATTTACCGCTGAGTAGCCACAGCCTGAAGTTAGAAACCAAACAATGACAATAAAATTAATAATAATTTAAACAATAAAAATGATATAGTCATATCAAAATACGATGTTCCATTGCTGGAATAGGTGGAAACCCTTCAAAGAGTTAGCATATTCGGTACTCTCTTAGCTCGGTTACGTGCAGCCGAATTAAGTTATCACACAAACATCGTCATTGACAGCAGTACGCGCACGTGCACTGCCAGCTTATATACAAGCCACATCAACAACCGAGTTTAGAAAGGGCCTACCGCTGTTATCTTTCCTTTCGATAGTAGGTATTTTCCTTTTTGGTGCGTTTTACCATCCTGTTGCTGTGTCTGTGGTGATTAGCCGACGTTATAATACTATTAATGCTGCGGGGTTGGGGTATCGTAGGTGAGGCTACCGTTGCCCCCGCTAAACAAAACAACAACTGGTCCCTCACACTGCCTACATATCATAATATTGTACAAGATATTTCCGTCTAAGTGATTCAAACGAAAAACAGATCGATTTTAGTGTTTGGGGCCCCACTGGTGCTTGGCTAGAATGTCATGAGTCATGTATCTCGTGCTGATCACCTAAGCATAAAAAATTCTGAGAAAAAAATGCTAGCCCCATATAAAAAAAACACCATATATATATATATATATAGGGCATATATATATGCCCTTGTCTCTGTGACCGTATCGTAGGTGAGAGCGACTAAGGGGCAAGAGGTTGTGTCGATTGGGGAACAACGTGAGCAGGGTGAAAAACATTGGAAATAGTCGTAGTTAAGAGAACTAAGCGACTTCTGAACTTAAAACGGACGAGACGTAAAAAAACTAAATTGCAAAAATAGTGGCCGACTACAAGAGGTCACTTGCCAAGCATTGCTATATCGGAATTATACCTATATATTGTATAGATGCTGACATTATATCTGACTTGTGTTGGTAACATTCTTCATTTTTTTCCTAGTAATGTGTAGAATGGCAATTTTGTTGTACTATAAGCCCGTAGCGATATCCTAAGCATCTCCTTACAGCCACAAATCAACCTAAGAAAGCGAAAAGGCTCTGCGCCAATGTCGATTCAGTGCACGATGAATATATATATATATATGTTCATAACGTAGATTATTTGTGTCATATACATACAGAATATAAGAAGCGTTTGATATGTAAAAAGCAAAGTAATAATAAAGAGGGATTGCAACATGTGCCGCTGATCCGCTTGGGCTAGGAAGACAATTCCCATAACGTCCCGTTCTAAACACTACAGAATGAATAAGATATACACGCAGTAATGCTCTCTTGTAAAACGGTGACGATCATATTCAAAAAATGCGGCAGGTTGAAGCTAAATAACAAAATGAGCAATCTTCATTTGTGATTCCTTTTCTAAACGGTCATCTGTCAACCAATGAGGCCAAATCGATATACTCACATCCGATATTTCGACATTTGTCTCTTTCGAATAATTTGAATATGCTGTGAACGACGGTTGATCGATCTTAATAATGGATTTCATCCACGAATCGATTAATTACTGACCACAGCGTCGCCACGTTCAATATAATAAGAGTAATCATCACGCTCGATCTTCTTATCAGCCTGCTTCTCTATTCCTCTTTCTTTTTTGCTTCTTGTGGGTTGAGCAAAACCTGGAAGCGTGGCGTCTCCTAATGAACTACTATTCATTGTTATAGCGGCACACGTTCCCTGGTTGTGATGATAGCGGAACATAGGCAACAGGGGGCCAGTCTACGTAAATAACCTGTAACTTCTATATTCTAGTCTTTTCATTGACGCCTACGTAGCACACTGTTCGTTTGACGATAATTTACCGATGCGTGCGCGTCTTGTGACTGACCCTTGCAGATCTTATTGCTCGTCTAATTGTATACGTATGATGTCGTGCCCGCCGTCGACAGTTGCTGCTCCTGATTACTATTGTTGATTCATTGCTATTGTTATTGTTGAATAGATCTAGTAACAGTTGATCCGTTAGTGTGGACCGTTCTAAGTAAGATTGCCGGGGTCACTGTAAAGAACTTGCCAGCGCCGTTGCAAAGCTTGCAATGTTGTACTAGCCGGATCCAATGCAATAAACTAGTGCGGTGCAACAGAAATGCAAGTGCCAAAAAACTGTCGTTTTTGATGATTGTTCGGGAAAGTGCTTTGACAAGTTTTCGCCATTATTGAGCCATTAAAATCCGCTGAATTTGTCGGAAAAGCTTCAGTGTAGGCACTTTACCAATGTTGTTGCTCATGCGTCCTTTTATGTCTTGAAAATTGCTACAGATAGATTGGTGAGAAGTATAGCCTTAGAGGAATTCTCTCATTCAGTCCGCTACAACTTCGAATCACCTTCGTAATACTGGATTCGTTGGAGAGCATTTATTTGTCATTAAAATGCATTTATATGAATTTATCTCGTGATTCGTCTCGAGCTGTTACGATCCGTGCGAAGACGTTTCTACTGGTATAGTTCAGATTGTATAGGTACAGCCTGGTACAATGCTAATTGTACAGTTGTACAGCCATAAAGAATCCAACAACACAAGCATTAATCGGTATGAAAATAACGTTAGAAAAATGAATCGAATTTCGGAGCGACGATTTTCGCGCAATTTTTTTCGAAATTATTCCATCTCCTACTATGACCACTGCTACATTTTATTGCAACCGCCTTCATTTTTGCTACTTAGCTAGAGCTGTCGTCGTTTAAAGCGGCAAATGGTCATCGCACGGTAAGCTAAACACGTTTGAAACAAGTTACTTTTGAAGGGGCCTTCGTGGCTAAGATGACGGTCGAGATGATACCGGTATCGGTAACTTCGTTGCGTCCAGCTGTTATCTTTGGCATATTAAGGCGAATGGAGAAACCGGGGCAAAAAGAAAGTGATACCTGTAGATAAAGCAATGATAATGAACGATGCTGGTAAAATGGCAGTTTTCGGGGGGAGGTGGGGGGTCAGGGTCAGCCACCGGAGGTAAAGGGCATGTGGCCGGGTGACCACTTCGTTGATCGACATTCACATTACAGAACAGTCGTACACAGATTCTATGTATGTACATAATGACGACCCTACAAATTGTGCGGTAGTAAAAGCAGCAAGAGCGACTTCTAAGTAAATGAATCGCACAAAACTACTATCATTTTTTTTTCATTTTGTTTAAGTAAGAACTTCGGAAACACACGCTGACGATCTGCATAGCTATAGCATCGTTGTAATCGTTCTCACAAAACGTAATTAGCCTTAGTAAGAAGAGTTCAAAAGAATAAGTGTTATATATATATATATATATATATATATATATATATATATATATATTTTGTTCTTATTTATATATTTATTTCTAGCTTCGTGAACGCTGGACAGATAAATGTATTCATAAACGAGAAAGGCAAACGGCTTTTTTATGAAGTTTATACATGTTACTTTATTTTTTTTTGCTTTCAATTTTAAGCTTAGGTACTTTCAAAGCAACTGAAATTTTGCTAGTCTCTGTACATAGAAGCAGCATGTGAACTGATATGGCCCATTGTTTGTTTCGCTTCGTCTTCTCTTGCATATCCTCTTCGCCAGGACAACACTCCTCAGTTCCAGCTCCAAGATGAAGAGGAGGCCAAGCCCGAACAAGGGCAGGCTCAGGCCCAACAAGGCGGCCAGCAAATAAATACATCTCCCGAACATGTACAGCAGCATCAAGTCGTTCATCAACGGTCTCATGTGCAACAAGCGCATCCTATATCGGTTCACTATCAGCAGCAACAGCAGCCATTGCCTGTAGGTGAAATTGGACGAGTCTGTATAACGCCTATAAGCGGCAGGGCATAAAAGACAAAGTTGAGCATAGACACAAATCTGAATAGTATGTTCTTGACTTAAACTAAGATTATGAATAAGCCGTCTAGCGACAAGTTCGCTTCCCCAGGCTTAAATCACCAATAAAAGGCCATTACCTAAAAGTGAATTAGTTAAATTCCAGACTTTCGGATTTTTTCGGCAACTGTTTTTGGCTTCGCTATGTGTAACGACAAAAGTTGGCAGCCAATCGACCTTTTCCAATTAAAGCGGTTAAACATAAATAACTACATACAGACCGGTGGAAATAATGTTCCTTAAGAGTAGATATGAAGGGTACCTTCTTACTTAAAATTCTCTGTATCTGTTGCATTGTATAGTACCGCGTGGCACCTAACGCAGGAGTACTTCATATTGTTAGGTTTCCCAGGCACTAGTGCAACCTGCCGGAACCCAAGGAGAATCTAGTCCCATTGGAAACATTCCTCCGGGTTGGAAAGTAATCCGCGTGACGGCTGATCAGTTGGCCGCTTATCAACGAGGCGGGCCCGCTCCCTGGCTAAACTCGAATAGCAATCAAAACATTCCACAGCATCAGCAGCAAGAACATCCCCCGGAGCAACATCCCCAGGAGCAACAGCATTCCCAGCTGGAACAACATCCCCAGCTGGAACAACATCCCCAGCTACAACAACATCCCCAGCTACAACAACATCCCCAGCTGCAACAACATCCCCAGCTGCAACAACATCCCCAGCTGCCACAACATCCCCAGCTGCAACAACATCCCCAGCTGCAACAACATCCCCAGCTGCAACAACATCCCCAGCTGCAACAACGTCCCCAACTGCAACAACAACATACGGTTCAAGAACAGCACCAGGGTAAGGAGCTGTACTGATTAACGCCGTAAAATACCAGCCAAGCGTGTTGCATCTTTTTACTGATTCACTAAACATTGTGATACTACTACAAAACAGTTGTTACACTGGTAAGGACTATAGTCGAGGTAATAATTCTAAGCATGTTCTAAGAGACCCATTTTTTATATAAGCAGTACGAAATTAATCACTTTCGCTATATATATATATATATATATATATATATATATATATATATATATATATATATATTACTCACCGTTATGGCTTACTCGAATAGATTGTTGTCATCAGCAAAATCCAAAGTCATCAGTGATATTATATCATTGTTTAACACCTGCTCCTACTATCGGCTTAGAGGTATAAGTTAAGAAATCTATGAGCTCTAAACCGATAACTACCTTATGCATTGGTTTACGCTTAGTTTATAGTTGTATCAAAATATAAAGATAGTAACTAATATTGCACGAATTGCCATATCATCATTTAATTCCATTGGGTAAATTTGTAAATTAGATTTTACCTGAAATTGACACAGGCTCTCCTCAACACATTGACGTTCCTCCAAGTCCCCCTCCGATTCAACATATTCAACAACAGCAACACGAGCCGAGAGACAACTTCGAAACATCTGGTCCGCCTGCTCATCAAGATTTCCATGGTGCCCACCAACGACATGCACCTCAGGGGCCGCCTGTACATTTCCAGCCACAAAATCAGATTGCACCTCCCGTGAGGATCCCTCCTCGTGCCAACGTCAAGGTTGTTTACTTACCTCTTGGAGGAAGCACGAAGACAGTTCAACATCAACAACCACTTTACCGCGATGAGCGCCGGGAACAGCAACGCCAGCACGAGTAAGAGCCCTCTCTAAAAGCACAAATTCTTCCAAGCACGCGCATGATCATGATCATCATCAAGAAAAAGCATACATATAATTGTGCTTTGTTAGCGTGCACAACTCTAGTAAGCTAGTCTACGTTTGCAGTACGTGAAACGTAGACAAAAGTTTTTTCCACTTTGAGAACGCTTAACTTGTTTAGTTAGCTTGGTGTATAATGTAACATACGGTCTATAAATTAATATTTACCAGTTACCCAGTATAAGAAATAAATAACCGAAAATTGTGAAGACGGAATGTTAGAAGCTAGAAGATTTATTGTTATGCCGACCGTTGACGTAGTCTTCGCCAAGTTGATGGATTTCAGTTGTGTTTTAGTGATTTTTGACGACTTGTCACATATTTACAGATGGCAGTCACCTGTGATTGAGCACGGATCATGGAAGGCTATTACTCCCAAATATATGCAACACAGTTCGAACGGGGCCTGGAGCAAGCCCGCTGCCAACAATGGTAAACGAGTATAGAGGTGGACGTCTTAAGCTGCTACTGCTACTTTGATAATTTCGGCACTGTACATTGTCGATATGATAAATCTATGCTAGCCCTTAACACGTTACGGAGAAGCTGTGTCTTTTATCTAATCGATTATATCTACCTTGGTCTTTTGCCTTGCAATACAGGCGGTCAGGCTTACGCTACGAGCGAACGATATCACCAAAGAGGTAATCATATTGAGGAGCATAGACATGAGCATCCCCCCAGCAATCAACAACGTAGCAACTATAACGGCAGTCACAACGGCAGCAATCCAGAGGGCGAACGTCACAATGGGCAACGGGCCCGCGGACTTGTACCCGGGCAGATTGGCCCGAAATGGTTCAGCTAAACTATTCGTGTATCGCAACTAGGCCTCCTCTGTAAACGAACCATTAAAGAAGGTCAGCAGCGAATGGAAAAAGATGCGCGCAGATAAATTACTATCCAACACATACTCCATAGCCCAATTGACTCATTCATGTATATCATAAAAAATAATATATTCGTCTAAAAAAAAAAGGATTATTCTAAATTTTAAGCGTAAGCAAGGGTCAAGTGTTAAATTTATGGCCACTACGGTTAACTGTCACTCGGCATTAACAGTGATAAACACCACGCTGACAATGAAAAGTCCTTACGGTCTTCTTCTAGATACTCATCCCAGACAAGTGGGGATTCTTCCTTTAAAGCATCTATAGAAATATTCGATACCTTAGAGCTTTCCGCCACAAAGGCGTGTTAAAGTACCAAGGAGTCTACCCACATTTCTAAAGCAACAAATCGACAGAACTGGATAGGACGAGTTCACCAGGATCAGCGCGGGTGGGTGGAAAGCTATAACAATTCAATGAATATCGTATGTGTGCAACAGTGTAAGCTGCGGTCAGTGCTAACAAACAACTTCGATAAATGACATTTTATTTATACATACATATTCACACCCTTCATAATTAAATTGAAGACATTTTTGTTGATCGTAGTTATTAGTTACTTTGTTCGAGTATCGAAGCACGCCGCCAGTGCTGAAGACAGCGCTCAAGTTATTACCAGCCGGCGGAGGCCAATGTAGAACTTGACCGATGCTGCCGTCCCCGCTGCCCATTGCAAGCAACCGGACTTACGTACTTCTTGGTCGAACAAGCGTTCGCTGACGAAACCTTCAGTTAAGGCTCCTTAAAAAAATTATAGAGTATAATTGTCAATAATTATTTTTGCGCCGATAGCAGCACTATTGCGGTTCACTATTTTGTGTGAAAGGCTCACCTAACATCGTCTGTCTAACGTTACCTAACGAATCACACAATTAATTAAATGTACATATTATATGTGCGTCTGTCTCAAGGGATGGAAGAAACATGCCATGACGTTGTATTATTTTGTTTTTGTTTATTATACATAATATATGTGAACTTACCAAATTGGGGATAGTTCATAGATGTATGGATTGCACAGATCGGCAGGATTTCCTGAAAAATGATTCTTACTTTATCGGAAAAGTATCTTCATCAGTGACCTTTCCTAATATTTCCCTTGAAAAAGGTTTTCATTACTTCCAGCTATTGTAGACTAAAGTTCGGCCATAAAAAGGCTGCTTCTGTGAAGCTCGCGCGGCCAAGCACTTTTGTATATATCCACTCGTTGTTTCCGGTTGTGTATTCGAATATCTTACTAAGTTTGATTTAATCAAAATAAATAAGAAATGTTTTATGTTGTTTACATTATCTGTATCGTTTATTTTAACATGGAACTACCATTGCAAAGATGTGTTCCCTTTCAAATACCGTGCGATGTATTGCAGCGTCGATAAACAGGTAGATAAACATGAATAACTAATTATACTGAAAAGTAGGTAAACGTCAATGAATCTTGACCTTACGAAGTTTCTAGGCCCACGAAGCCGTCTTGTTGTAGACTTCTATTATATTCCCCTCATGAGTTCGGTGTAAGGTTCGCATCTACGCATTTTCATACTAATAATTCTTTTTTCATACACCAACATCCTAATCGTCAAGGTAGTATATTTCGGGCAGTTACCGTTGTATACGAAAGCACCTCAGACGGCTATCTAATGTCTTCAATAAACCTTCAGAAGTGTCCAAAGAGGTTTATGTATTTGTATAACTTCACATAAATGGACTTAGGATCACCAGCACAGAACTCACCTTATGATTTAGTTAACTACCATAAAATGTAAGATTTACATAAAATAACTTACCATATATTTTCATACGTTAAGTAAATTAAAAGCTTTGCTTCAACTTTAAATCTATCATTCGCCTTTTTCCGTTTCCAGTCAAACAATCGACCCTGAAGAAAGTGATGGTTTTTAAAATTAAACGTAGATTTTCATCAGCATTTCAATGAGGTCAAGCTTCATAGTAATGTGATGATGTTCAAAGATGGTAATTTACGAACGAAACTGCGAATGGCCAAATTTACTTTTAGTGGTAAGTTTAATGTTAACAGACTTTGTAACGAGGAATCCGAAATGCACGCATCCTTTGAAAACAGTTTAGAATTTAGTTCAGTGAAAATACTGACACAGAGGAGACGACTCCAGAATCAGCTGAGAGATGCGGCTTGAAAGTTAAACTTTAGTTTTTATGATTTTTCACGTAAAAATATGTTTAGTCAGTTAATGCGGCGTAGGCCATTTTATACCAGTAAACAAAGGTACAGTCTATCTTTAAACTGAGAAACATTTTAAGATCATAAGCCAAATATAGCTGGAAATTATCATCCTTAGGGATACATATATTATTCCGACTAAATCCGCGACACTGGATAGTACCTTCAACTATATGTACTATGCAAGACATATCGTTGCGCACAAAATACATTTATTTTCTCAAAGTGCTGTGCTAATCTTCATGGGGTTCGGAAAGTACAAACTGAGAAATCGAAAGATAGTTTGTGATCACTTTTTTTTTTATCTTGACACATAAATTATTGTTACGGCAAAAACGGCGTCACTTACGGTAAGCTTTGACCTTTAGCATTTGGGCCCACACAGAATTGTCTTACGCTGGAACTTATTTCAAGGGCAGCTCCAGCGAAAAGATTTTACAAATATGAAAATTCCAGTAGAACATACTGCCAGTTAGAGGTAAATATAACTTCTCATGAAGCATTTTCCTTACGGAATTGATTATTTATACCCTCTAAAGTGTGTTAGTATAACACGTATGTATTTCTGATAATAAGTTAATTTTAGAAAAAGTCATAGCAACCATAAAATTACTGAAAATGTAACAGTGTACAGGACACGTATCTACACTCCCAATACGGATTATCGATTAGATTGTAATCGTTCCAGAATAAACAAGGAGGCTCCACAGGTGAGTCAATGTAGCGTAGATTCATGTTTCAATTAAACATGTACGTTTTAACTGCAATTCTCCTCTTTTCACGTACCGATTTAGCACCATTCAACGGCTCGTTAGCCGCTGTATTACAATGCGGTCTGAGAAGGAGGTACTGGTTATTATACCTCGAGCTATTTTATAAATGCTACTAACATTTTACATATGTGTTATTCGATATATGTCTCGAGCCTTTAGGACTTGACTGGTCAAAAGGTCTGAAATAGGACTTGGTATCCACGTAAAATAGATGTTGTATCGATATTTGAACTAGGTCTATCCATTACTAGATGTTTTGATTTTTGTAGAGCCAATAGTCCCTGAAAGAATTGAATTTCCTGGAACGACTGAGCATTTTAGACGAAATTGGAAGGTCCCAATTGAGCAACAGCGAGAGAATTTTTGTACAGTTATTTTCTATCGAAAAGTTTTTTAGGAATAGACATCTGCAATGTAGCATTGTCTATGTCAACAGGGTCAATGCTGTCACACACTATATGTTATAGCATCTTGTTAGTTTGAAAAATGACAATTGAAAATAATGAAAGATTCAAATTTTTTCCACCTTTCCAGTCATCCAATCAGACTAGAGTCCACTAAAGAAAACCTCAGAGAAATAATATTTTCACGTCTGCTTGTATTGCCCGTCTAGTTCACTGCAGTTTACAGATGTCGCCATTGTCCGTTAAAGCAGGCAATAAAGAAAGAGATCAGACCAAATCAAATGAATGGTCGTATGTTGGGGCGTGAGAAACATGGCAGGTGCCTTCGATCGAATAAATCGTCAATAAGTGCTCTTACAAGTCATAAAAGATTCATGTGGGGTAGATTTAAAGTTAGAAGCAGTTCGTGCTTTCTGCTGCAAGTTTACCCCCCACCAGATATGCTTCCTCGACTCCTTGTGCGAGGAGAACTTAATGCAGGTTTCTCATTCTTGATACATGTAGGTATTGGGTGAGTAGTAACCCAATAGATCTGGCCGTTTCCGTCCATGTTTCCTAACGAGACATTTGTACGCCTCTGTGTTTCTAAACGCAGTGTGTCTTTGCCCAGGTTCGAACCTACGTCTCCCGAGGATTACCAGGGAAATACGTTTGCTACTATGCCATCACAGGGAGAATGTTGTACATCTACGGGTGATCAAATGGCCAATGAACCTCAGGTTGACCCGAAAAGCCTGAGGTCATGAGAGTATTATGTCGAACTGTTACAGCTATCGTTTCTCAGGACAACCTAATGATTTTAGGGAGTTGGACATAGGTTGCAACCTATCAAAGCTGAGCAAAATTGTACAAGACCATAAAGACCGTTTAAAAGATATAGATATGTTTTTTGAAAATATGTTTACTTTTCCTAAAAATGATCCATGATGATAAAATTCACTGCGTGAATATTTTCAAAAATGTAGCGTAGCAGGTGAACAAAATATACAAGCAGAACTCAAGGCGCACCTGTGAGATCCAGTTAACGCTCGTGTGCAATAAATCACATTTTATCGGTATAATTTCGTTTACTTCTAGTTCAATCGTTAAGCATTTCGCAGCGTTGTCTATATGAAGCCTCGTAAATGACGCAACAAAGTGTAGCAATGAACCTTAACGAGTACTTGACCCTGCCTAATTGTCGTCACCAGGCACTCTAATAACATCCATAATTACAAGAGGATATTAAGGCCCCTTCGTCCGTGCGTCTGAATGTGCCAGCTCAATGCAAACGCATCGAAATCTAGCAAGTAATGCAACGCAGGGTTGAAACGCAATACAGTAAAATATTAATACCGAGGCTGTCCCTTATCTTCTTGGATTTTACCATATCTGGCTTCGCCAAGTCTCTTTCAAATTCTAGGTATTTTTAACTGTAGCAAACATATATGAATAGTATAAAATTAGCGGTAACATTGCAAAGCAATGAATGGTTTTGATTCCATAATGGGTGCTAATTTCATTAAGGTACGTCATAAATGAAATGTCTGCCTATATTTTCTCACATTAAAAAGTGGAACAAACTGTGAGCTCTAAATACTGGTGAGTTTTTTTTAAGCTGATTTTTATTAATCAGAAAGTATTGGTGACCTCTTTACGTGTTTTATAAACTGCTTCGCCTACTTTTGCTTAGGTTTGCAAGTGAGTTTAGCCTCTGCAGGCCTGAACAATCCTATTAAAATATAGGACTCGTCCGTGTGGCCCGGAACAAAAACAAAGCGAGTCTATTTTCGTTGCCTATTAGCTTTTCCACTTCGCGTGCCTGCGTCCAGGTACGCTCGCCGATAAAAAAATCCCCAATTTTTGATCATCTTACAAACCTGGCTGATCTTATCTGTCAACACTTATAACTAATCCTTGCGCTGAGATCTGACCGGTGCCCATTCTCGGGCTACAAAACGGTCCTACACGAGGTCGCATCTAGAAATGTGCGGTTGAGCTATAATACTCTTAGCAGAAAAAAAAAATTTTTTAACATATACGTGTAAGTTTCAGACAAGATCGTAGGAAGGAGTTACCAATGTTTAAGCGAAACCACGTATCGTACCCCTATACCGCGGGAATTTCGAAAACTCACATCAGCTCTCGTCTGGCTATGGAAGCTTACATCATAACGGATCGATCCATACCGCTCCACCGAATCGACGATGGTTCAAGGTCTGACTTTCACAACGAACAGTGGCCGACGTTTACCGCCACAGCTTTAGCAGAAGCAGGTCCCCTTCCAAATGGAAATACAATATTTACTATCTCTTTTGTTCATAACTGACATTCCCGTTCAAATACAGAGCGTCCCTCATCGACGGTACCTCCACTGCAACCGTTTGCAGTCGAAAACTCCTATCGTGGCAGTTTTATAGCAGCAAATAACAAAAAGAAAGCGTCATCTGTTTAATCACCTCCCATGTGAAGTGCCGGGTGGAAGCTTACGATCCACGATTCGGTCTGCCTGGTGTTGTTCCATTCTTGGTCCCTGCTCAGCACAGGCTAAATTCATCGTTGTCCTACATTTAGTTTGCAATTTCTCTCTTAGCAGGGGTGGTCCTATAATTTCGAGTACGGCATGTAATAACATTTGCCATTTTCATTTGGAGGTATCATCACGAAATGATAAGCCAAGATAATTGTATCTCACGGTACACAGCTTTTGAAAAATATCGACTTCAGATGTTCTAACGAATTCATAACATTTAAAGAATATCAATCGTAGCAGTGATAATCGAGTGAGCTTCTGAATAGAGCAGCGTTATGGCAATGCGATAATTTCCTTTTATGAAGATTTTTTGGAGAAGATTTCAGCTGTTTGAATTTTACTAAAAAAAAAAAGTCTTCCTTACAACGAAATATGTCATTGACATCTTTACA